AACCTAACTGTTACTAATGATGTGTTCTTTGTCTAGCGCTGTCTTGATGACTGGGTATTCATGTGCTTCTTTGTAGGGAATGATTTCCTTCCCCACTTACCTTCACTAGAAATCAGGTAAAATGCCAAAATATTTTTGTTGTAATAAAATCGTACTGCATGTACATTATAGCTTTAGAACCTGTAATGTAATTCTACACATAGGTCGAAACCATTCACGTGAAACTTGAACTTCAAAAATACTTTTATATGATGCATTTCCTTCATGTTGAATTTGCTTTAGCAGTATTTTTTGAATCCATTATTTTAGTCCCCTGATTGTTCATGTAGTACAAACCTCTTTTGGTACTGTTTCAGCAGGTAGTTACCATAATCATAAGTTTTGTTGTTTTTCTCCAGAGAGGGAGCTATTGATAGACTGGTGGGCATTTACAAGAGAGTTTTACCAAGATGTGGGGTAAGAGCAATGGATATTCTTGCAGATTGTCATCATTATGTTCATTGTTGTCAATGAAGAAGTTTTTTAAGCTCGCTTACTCAATGGGCTAGGGTCCAGGCAAGGCATCTTGCAAGCAAGTATGCATGCAAACAAGCACGCAAGCATGTAAACAAGCATGCAAGCAATCATGCAAGCATGCAAACAAGCAAGCATGCAAGCATGCAAACAAGCAAACTTGTAAGCATGCAAGCAATATGAATGTGGGAGCTGCTTGTTCAACAGACAGGCAGGAATTTAAGTCTTGGACAATCGCCACCTTTATGATAAAGCACCTCCGTAATGTGCTCACAGTGTACTTGTGCAAGTTAAATGTGGGTATTTACAATGCATGATGCATACTTTAATCTATTTACAGGGCTATCTAGCAAAACATGGAATTGTTGATTTGAATCGAGTTCAAATGGTTCTTCAAGGTGCGTAGAAAGATTTGATAAGCTTGAAGATAGTTATAATAATAACATAAGTATTCATCATATCTGTCAATCAAGCCTTCAAGGATCTGATCTTAGTTTGATTCTTGCGATCATGATGTCTTCTAAGACAAAAATAATTGCTTCACTCCATCTTTCTTTACCAGCCCAGTGTATAAATGGGTATCAGTAATTTTCATTTTGTATAGTACTATTGGGCGTAACCCTGCAATGGATTGGCATTGTGTCCAACGCCCAGCCATTTTGACCTTTTTCTTGGTCAATAATGCATAGTTATAGGTGTAATGCGATGTAATTTTATTCAAGATTCGTAACCCATCTGGCATGTATGGTGTGTATTTTGTCATGTTATTAGAGTAGTAACCAAACCTATGTGTTCATTTAGAGCTTGGTTACGTTGAAGATGAGATTTTTAAGAAGAGGCAAGCAAATGATGTGAGTACTCTAAATTTAAATAAATTTTGATGGATTAGAATATTAAAATATTGCTTACATGTTGATATGGTTGTGACTTATGACCATTGTACGTACATGAACTTGTATGTGAAGTAATACATTTGTAATACAGCTCTGTAAGTGCTCCTAGTGGTTTTACTACTTACTTGTTGGGTGTATCCTTCCCCACCATCCCCCCTTCCCTCCCCCCTTCACTCCCCCCTTCCCTTCCCCCCTTTCCTCCTCCCTTCCTCCCCTTCGCCCCTCTTACTCCCTTCTAGACCACACAAAATATTGTTGCAATGTAAGTAAAAGTTTGTCGCAACAGATGATTTTGTTTTTTTATAGCTGGCATACAAAAGACGTCTCAAGGAAAACAAAGAAAGGGAGAGACAGAAAAGACAGCGAATGGTATGTTTTTTGGTTATTATAATAATTATGACCACAGTTTTCAGTCTAGACGCTAAGAGTCCAAGTAATACTAAGTTTTTGGTCTGTCTATAATGTCATATAACACTAGTTCATGATAATCTTTATCTCCTTGGTGGTTACAATTGTAGTTCTGCATACAGCTTTACATGTAGTTCCACATTTATCATAATAATTGAAATGATTGCTTTTGGGCATTTTTTTAAACCAATACCAATATTGCATTGACTGTGCATCTGAGTGAAAGGTTTGATACAATGTACGTTTTGATCTTGATATCAGGATGCACCTCTATGGACACCCAGTGGTCAGTTTAGTCCACACGTCATAACTAACACACCCTCGCCTGTTGTGTCTCCCCGCCAAGAGGCTTATGCCATGCGACAACAAGCCATGTCTTACAGTGCTGGGAACACAACACCACAGGATAAAGCAAATAAGGTACAGTGGCTTTAGCAATGCAGCTGTTATTACAACGAAAACTCTAACACCTTCCTCTCTTTAATGGCAAACAACTTGCCTCTTTCCCCAAATTTGCATTTTTCAAGGCTTTGGCTGAACATTGAATTAAGCTCTTAAGATCTGAAGTAGAAACCTCTTAATCAAGAATTTAAGAAGTGTACATCTGAAATTTTTTTTTATAAAAATGTTGTCTAACTTCAGAATTAGATGGTAACTATGATATAGTCTGTAGAACTTGTAGACGCATTGAATTTGACTTTAGGTAAGGTAAAAGTTCACATCCAGTGGATGTTTCATATATTTTTTTATATCTTTATATCTTGGTATCTGCTTCATATTATTCAGAGTTATACTGGAAAATAATAACTGCAGTCATTGTTGTTTGTTACTGTAGAGTGCAGCAGCAGACCTGAGAGCTATGCTCACTACACCTTCTCCAAATGCAAGTATGGTGAGTAAAATACAAGTGAATAGTTTAATGTACAAAAGTCTCTACATATATTATAGTATGTTTGTGTTAGTGTTGACATTGCACACCACACAACAGCATTTGCACCTTGCCGGTCTGGAGCAAAGTGGACTACTGTTTAATGCAAACCAGAGTGATGATTTCCAACTTTTATTTGCAATATGTATGTCATTTACAATGTAATTACCACAAATTCGGTTCTCAGGTTTCAACCTACATGTACTCCCCAGTTTCTGGATATCAGATGACTTGTTCTGCTGATTTGTATCTTTCTAAACTCTCTTTGTATTGTTCTCTGAGGGATTTTTCTTAAAATTTGATGGTTTTATTTTCAGTTCTTGTATACTACTGGGCATCAAATCTTTATAATCAGTCTTAAAATATTTTAGCTGTAATCGTTTCAACCTTACATAAATTAGCTAGGTTGTTTTATTGACTATGCAAAAGAAAATTTATTTTACATTCCTTATCACTTTATTTTATTTTTTTTATTCCTGTTTTACATGTATTTTTACCAATATTTTCTATCACTTTATTTAAACTGTAGTTATCTGCTGCAAGTACACCCAATTCTGTTCCTGTATCAAACAAGAGAAAGAAAGATGATGATGATGACGAGGAACCGAAAGACGATATCAGGTAAAGTTGGCCAAATAGACTGTCAGCAATACTAGGTATCCCTTTTTGTCCTCAGTTAATGTACATGTGCCAGCTGGCTGGTGAATGTGTTTGTTGGTATACTTTTCTCCCCTTCAAAAAAACAGGAAAAGAAAGACATTACCTGCAGGCTATCAGCTTAATATGCACTGGGGTATAATAACACCCTGGATACCAAAGGGTTTTTTGTGGTGTTTGGTTGTCTCGTTGTCTTATTAGATGAGGTGTGGGTGCTACAACAGCATTTCCCAACCCCTTACTCTAACAGGGGTTATTCTAATACCATTGCAGCCAGTACTAAGGGAAGTGTCCGTGCAGGATACAGCTGTTTTGAGAATGATTGTCGGAAAAAGTGCACGCGACAATCCCGAAAGGTATTGTGGGTGGTTTTGAGTTCACTGTTTGTCAAAGAAATTTGAAAGAATGGCACGAGAGGCCATGGATGTATGTCTGTGAGTGTTAAAGGAAAGCAACAAAAGTAGATTCGACAGCTACAGTGTCAGGAACAGTGTATTGCTCATATCCCTTATTACCTTTCGGGATTGTCACGTGCACATTTTTTCCGACAACCTTTCTCGAAATAGCTGTATATGTCGGCCTTATACAGAGTCAAAAAAGATGCCTGGGTGATCATCTTGGTGTCCATTTACATGTAAGGGGGGCGTTTGTATTACAGCAAGTCAAACAAAGGACTCAGGGGTGACAGGGACAAATTCTAGTGCATTTAAGAAAGGTGTCCAGTTTCTAAATTATTGTTGTCTGTTGTGAGTGACAGTGTTGACCGTATTTACTATGAGACTATTCCCTAACCTCTTACCGTAAATCCTACAAGCCCATATGAGGGGGGCTATTTGAGAGGGGGAGCTTATTTAATTTAGAAAAGACTATGGTATCAGTTCTCCATAAAGACCTAGATTACAAAGTGGAAAAGCTCAAGTACAAGAAGGTTGGAGGTCATGCAGCCGAGGATCAGAATAAAATCCAAACTTCCTGTTGGTAAATAAACCATCCCAGATCAGTCCCCATGAAGTTTTACAGTTGTGATTGATTAATGTGGTCTATCATTTGTCAGCGAAGAATATTTAGGAGAGAGGAGGGGGGGAGGTGGTTATTAGAGGGAAGGGTGTATTTGAGAGTGGAGACTTAACAGAGGATTTACAGTACCTAATTTTTTCTGTTATCAGGTTATGGGAAGCAGGTTGGAAGGGTCGCTATTATCAAAACAAGTTTCATATATCTGAGAATGAAGAAGGATATGATGATTTCCGGAAGAAAGTGGTAACATACTAGATTCCTTATCTTGATTGTTATTAGACTGGAAACAAAAGTACAAGAAATATTGCTAAAATTTTGGTGGAGAAGGCCAATGAAAGTGTAAACACTCTTTTATTTTATTTTCTCTTTCTTTGACAAGGCTGATGCTTATGTTGAGGGACTCTGCTGGGTTTTACTTTACTATTATCAGGTAAGTAATTACTGAAGCTGTTTGTATTAATTTTGAGTTTATAGTACTGAAAGAAGTGGCCAAAACACCCTCACATTGAGGAGGTGTGGGGGGCTTTACAGGACACTCCCATCCGTGAGGACTGATAGACACAATTTTTTGGCCTGTAAATTTATGCGAAACTTAGATAGTTTGTGTACATGAAACTTTCATAGTTAGATAAACTGCACAGGGACATTTACTTGTATATCTTCTACTTGTGGTAGAGAGGAGGCTATTCGAGTGAGACGCGTCTTTTTAAGGGGGCAGGAAATTGGTCTTAAATTAATGGTATTTTTTTTATAAATTAACCATCCCTTTTTTTTCTTCAGGGATGTCCATCTTGGAAGTGGTTTTATCCTTATCATTATGCACCATTTGCATCTGATTTTCGTGATCTTGGTTCACTTCCCAACTCATTTGAACGTGGAACACAACCGGTAACTGAATCTCAATTTAATGTTATTCAATTATATACAAGACGTGCTTGCTTTCCATCTTTTTTTTGATATCTGTCAAGTTCGTATTACCAGTGAAAATGTGAAGAAAAAAAGGCAGTTAATAAACTTTTCTTGTGGCATGGGGCTTCAACGCTCGCCGCTCGCGCCTTTTTTACACGTGCTTCTCCGGCGTGGGTGTTACACGTGCTACTCGTTTCAGTAACTTTGAAGAAAATAAGAGACAACTTGCAGTGTAATTAATGTGTATAGTGGAATTCTGAATATTTGCACTTTATTATTTGTCCATCTTTTTTTCTTGATGTGCAGAAATAGCTACTCTGTTAGTTTGAATAATATTTATTCTGCTATGTCTGAAGTCTCTGAATCATGTTTACAGCGTTCTTTGATTCGTTTTCTTTTGCTCTGATTGCAGTTCAAACCTTTGGAGCAGTTGATGGGTGTGTTCCCAGCAGCCAGCGGCAAATTTCTGCCTCCCACCTGGAGAGAACTTATGTCACACCCGGTAAATGGACACTCTTCTTTTCTCATTGATTTTTGATTGACTGTTTAGATGATATGTTCGTCGATGTTTATTATTTAAATAGTATATTCATTGATTGATTAAATGATTGATTTATTAATGATTGACTGCTCTTTGTGTTTCAGGATTCAGCAATAATTGACTTTTATCCTTTGGACTTTGAGATTGACCTCAATGGAAAGAAATATGCTTGGCAAGGTACCTTAAAGAACTTAAGAAACATGCACTAACACAGCGCAACACAACAAATTGTTTGAGCCTCTCTCAGGTGAAAGAAATACTTGGCTCTGACACTTATACACAGGCACACCAATCAAATAAAATTAACTGGTTACAAATGCACCTACCAGGAGGTAGTCCAACTGTTGGCTATTGGTTGACACAGTAGTCGTTTGAAGGGGGAAGAAAGGGAGATATTGCATGCGGAAACATGTATGGCATTCTCTTGGACCCAGTAGTAACATCTTCCATGTATTTTTCACCACAGGTGTGGCTTTGCTACCTTTTGTTGACGAGAAGAGACTGCTAGGTGCTCTTAGTAATGTATATCCTGATTTAACAGATCTGGAAAGTAAGTTTATGCAACATTTCATTTCTAATGGCAGTGCTTCATAGTAGGTGGTACTTTAGGAGGGTGCCTTGGTCCTTAAGTTTTTTAGGAAGCTGTGGCCAAAGCGTGACACAACAGCAGCAGTGATTATCTCTAGTGTAGCATATTCGCAAAACCTACCCTTAAGCGTGACTAAGCTGTTATTTTCAGCTTGTCTTGCGTGACACCACAGTAATGTGGTGACGTTCTGAAAACTTGGAGATGTACTCATTTCACAAGCTAACCATTCTTTGGTTTATTTGTCTCGTTTCAGAGAAGCGGAACAGTCGTGGTAAAGATCGTCTGTTCGTTCGTCAGGGCAATCCTACATTTGACTTCTTCGTTGGTTTATATGAAGGAGACGGCATTAAAGAGGTAAGCCTCTACAATGTATTTTTAAAGGTTATTGCTTCTTCCTGCTTGACGCAAACCATTCGAGTATCCGAACTCAGAACTTCTGAGAACAAATCCAGCTAGTGGTCAAGTGTGAGGGAGGACTTAACTTGGGATCTCTGGATAGCAAGTACAGTATTCTAACCTCTCAGCCATGATGCCTAGCCACAAGCAGCCACTTGTACCTTCCCCGAGCTATGGTGGCCTCACAGCAGAGATTTAACTGCTCATATCTGGTGTGTTGTATCTTTTAGGCAGTCGACGTAGTAGCAGACCTAACAGGGGGTATGTCAGGCAAGGTACAGACAGATGATTGCCCCATCCTACCTCACAAGTAAGTTCATTCAGATGAGTAATTTTTGAATTGCATGGTCGTTTTAAGATGAAATGATCACTGATAGTACTTCAAAAAGTTATTGCGGTCACTTCAAGAGGTGGTCGTTCATGAGAGGTTCCAACTATAGGGTTTTGAGAGGGAATATTTTTTCGCTTTGGAGAGATGGTCGCCAACAAGAGAGATAGCCACACTTGGAGGTTCAACAGCAGAAGCTTTTCTTTGAATGATAGCATTGAACCAAATGTATCTCCATATCCTTGCGAATCTGTTTAGGTTTCTTTGCTTATGCAGTCTGTTAACTAACGTTTACATAACAGTCCCAATGTGCAGGTCGATACTACACCAGCCAAGTCTCTTACGTGACCTCCAACTGGAAGAGCCTAAAAAGTAGAGGTCTGATACGTTCACACACTTAAACAAACTAAACTATCTTTGACAGCTTAATAAACAGGTTTTCCTTCAATGTCTTTTCAGAACAGTTCCTTCACCCGTTCCTCAACTCTACGACCTCAAAGATAACAGAACCATCAGGTAAACAACAATAACATCAACAACACAAACACAACATAGCATGTCAAACTCGCTCCCAGGGTCCTCTCTTAGTCATTCTCCAGCGTAAGAGTAGGAGAAAAACCTGGGAACAAGGCTGCATAGCATGTATGACTCAGACGCGATTCACCAGTTTTATAAGTTTTTCTGTCAGAGTGTAATGTTGAAAACTAATTGTTTGTCGTATTATTGAATTGTTCACTTTTAGTGTGTTTTTCATCGACCCTGCTTATGATACGGATCATATTTTTAAGGCGGATGTCTTACCTAAGGCGGAGTAAGTGAAAGTTAGATAATTTATTAAGTCCTCGTTGTATTGCTTTTTATATATTAAATGCTGTATGTACTTACACTTTTATCTATATGTACCTCGTTGGGGCCTCAAAAACATTCCATGGTACGGGGATACCCCCTCCCCCCTTCAATGTGCAAACCCCTCCCTTCTCTTGTGTCTAACCCTTCTCCCCGATGTCCAACCCTTCCCTCTCCGATGTCCAAAACCATTCCCCCCCTCCCAATGTCCTAACCCCTCCCCCCTCTTATGTCCAACCCTTCCCTCCCCCTGATGTCTGACCCTTCCTCCCCCCCCATGCCCCAACCCTTCACCCTCCCCTACCCCACCCCCCCCCTCCCCCTACTTCTCAACCTTCCCACCNACCTAAGGCGGAGTAAGTGAAAGTTAGATAATTTATTAAGTCCTCGTTGTATTGCTTTTTATATATTAAATGCTGTATGTACTTACACTTTTATCTATATGTACCTCGTTGGGGCCTCAAAAACATTCCATGGTACGGGGATACCCCCTCCCCCCTTCAATGTGCAAACCCCTCCCTTCTCTTGTGTCTAACCCTTCTCCCCGATGTCCAACCCTTCCCTCTCCGATGTCCAAAACCATTCCCCCCCTCCCAATGTCCTAACCCCTCCCACTTCTTATGTCCAACCTTTCCCTCTCCCTGATGTCTGACCCTTCCTCCCCTACGATGTCCGAACCCTTCACCCTCCAGTGTCCAAACCCCTCCCTACTCTTATGTCCAACCCTTGCCTCCCCCTGATGTCCAACCTTACCCCTTCGATATCCAAACCCTTCCCCTTCTAAACAAAAATGTCAATAAACAGTTACCCCTTCATATACCTTCCCAAGAAAATAATATCCCCTTCATGAACCTACAAAAAGGTTTTTTGTAATTAGCTGTGGGAGTTTGCCTCATGTTCCTTGTGTGTGACCTTTTAAAATAATAACGTAAATTAGCCATCGATCGTGTCTTTTACAAATGTACCGTACTTTGAAAGACCCTTTCAAACGCTTTAAAACTAATATTCCTTACCCTTTTCTATCTGCTATCTCGTTAAATTCCTACCATTTTTCAGATACCTAGATTACCCCTTTTGGGTGGAACATCTCCCCTGTAGTTCCATTACAGGGAGTTCCATCTGTGTATAAGCTGATTACTAGATGATCACATGGTCAGACCAGTTAGTTCTCTGCAGCTCGATTATGGATACCCATCCCATACAGTAATTGTTTTTTCCAGGTGCAACTTGCACTTAACGCAAGCAGTACGGGTAAAATTTCTTGTATTACGGATTATCACGCCAGATCGTTTGCTAGTCGTCCTACCAATCGCGTTTTACACGTAATTCTTTATTTTTTAGTACTGTAATAACTCAGATCACCTACCCCTCCCCTAAGCCAACATTTTGCCCTATGTGACAAGTAAGTGTTGATGTTGGCTTAAGAGAGGGGTAGGTGGGCAGTTTCCCAGAAACGCATAAAGATCCAATGACTATTCCTTAGTCTAAAGCATCGCCTGTGATTTTCTCTTCACCAGTCCCCCTGCTCGTGTTCTCAAGCCAGAAGGTTATGATAGTAACAGGCCATACAGACCAGTTATTGGAATGAACGCTAACAGAACCTCGTTTGCTCATTTGGGTGATGCGGGGCGGCGGATGCTTAAGTAAGTAGAGTAGTAATCTGTAGTGGTACCTGATGGTGTGACTGTGCTTTATATGATTCAATTAGTGTTCTGTTGTGTGTCCTGATAGGGTGACTGTGCGTTATTGATTCAATTGATTTTATGACATGCATGTGATAAACAAATCCTTTTTTAAGACAAAAAATAAACTTAAAGAGTAAGTGGATGTGAGGCACCAACCTGGTCCCCACGTTTCTGTGTAATCTCGTCTCCAGGGCTTTTTCCCAAAGAAAAGGGAAAAGCCCTGGGTCAGACAGCCTGTTCCAGGCGATCAGATTGTGTGGACGGCGCAGAGAAGGTGTGAGCAGGAAAAAAACAGCGTCTCTTCCTCCTTTTTCCTCCCGCTCTCTCACTTCGCGCTGCACTCCGCTATCTAACCGTTGGAGCTTTCAACAAGCTACTCCGTTGTAGCCGCCTACACAGACGTACTTAGGGGTTCGTCACGCGTTGGGGAGGATTGCGTGACGAGCCAACAGAACCTCTTCGTGTGAAGCTAACTCTGGGGACGAGGTTGTGGTTTGAAGATTTATACTCCTGGTGTAATCTAAAAATTTCAAATATCGCATCTGAAGGAAGCTATATAAGTTGTTCTCTTTTTAGGGTAGCATTTTGATGACAACTTTTCCTCTCTTTTCTTGTCAGTTTTCACAAAGGGGATCTTTTTCGTCCCTATACTCCCGCCAGCTACGTGCCGCCCTTTCGGTCGAACTCATGCCCTCCGCAGAATGATTCCAGGCATGGTTACCCTGATCGTCCAAGATCCAATCCGGGTACACCTGTATCGTCACGTGGTAATCATGATCCAAGACGACAGATCTATGACAGAAATCGCGCTCCACAGTACAACTCGGGAGGTTACCAAGGCAACCAATCCTATTACAATTCAGGGGGTTACCAAGGTAACAGATCCCAGTACAACTCGAGTAATTACCAAGGAAACTGGTCACAATCAAACGCATACTCTCGAGGACCTGGGTCGAGTCAATCTCAGTACTCTCGCGGTAGCTATCAACACTCGTCACGTGACCCTCGACAGCAGCAGCAGTATTACAATCGACAAGGACCTCCCAACAGGGTAAGTTGAACGATCAAAAACCTTATTCTCTCAAATAAGGAAGCGATTCCGTACAAGAGTACGCGAAATCTTCTTGCTTTTTTATTTAGTTAGGTAACGTCCTCTCTTTCTGTTTTCGTTATTGCAAGGATCTATTTCGCAAATGGTCGCTCCTACCCTTGAATCAAATATCATTCCTTGGTTTCCCTCTTATCGCTACAACTGAACTACTTTGCTGAGCCTTCTTGCATGGCTGCTAATAATTTGTCATTTTTGGATAAACATATGTCCTATCATTTCATTTCATTTCATTTTTATCGGTTAATTCAAATTTACAATTTTATTTTCTCACTGCCCTCAAATAGCAAAGGTTAGTTTAGGTGGGCAGTGTACATATTAAAAAAACAAACAAACAAAATACGCACTCCAAATTGTATTCAATTCACAAGTGAACAAAAGTAATTTATATAAATGTACAAATGATAAAGAACAGCAGAAGAACAGAAGAAAAGTTAGCATGCTTAAAACAATGCGAAGGTTAACTGGAATTCAGAATATAAATCAGGAAGTTACAAGTACACTATTAAGACGATTGCTAAGATAATGAGTGGGTGAATATTACGGACACCTGGAACATGCCGACTTTGTAGTTCAGTTATCCCGGATGTGCCTTATGCGCTGTCCTCAGTATTACCGCGCTTGCGCAATTAAATTGACAACTTGTTAATTGTGGTTTTGTTTGTACCTCAGGATGATCGTCGCCATTCGTACCCGCTTTCCAATTACCGTTACAGACCGTACTAAGATGGCCGACACATTCTCATTTTTAACACCCCAGTTGAGGTACCACAGGAAAACCAACACTGTCGTGAAGCACCAGGGACGAATAACTGTGCGGGGCGTGAGATCCATGAGACTGTCGCGTGTTCTCGTTAAGTTATCGTGGTTTCTTAAAACAGTTAAATGAGTATCGTGTTACTTATAGTTTGTAATTCATCACCTGATCGGTTTTATTCGTTTCTAATTTGACCAGGAGTCAAATTACGTCGGTCGCCTCCGAAGAAATGAAGAAATTAAAGTGGTTAAAAAATTGCTGGTCAATTTTCTGTGGAAATTGCAAGTGAACAACTTTTTTTCACTTGGAACATTGTTTTCGGTTGCTCTTTAAATAGATCAAAACGAAGTAAGTTTTTGACAATAGTATTCTCAAATTCCACGTGAAATGTTTAAAAGGAAGGTTAAAGAAAGCACCTTAACAACCAAGAGGAATTTTGCTTTTTTATATCCTTCACAAGTGCTAAACTTCATACATGATTAATGTTGGATGGTTTAAAGGGGGAACAGTTTTCGTTAACTACAACAGTTTATGTCGCAGATCCACCGATGTTTTTGGTGGGAGTACAACTTGCGCTGTAAATAACTGTTTGTCGAGTTTTTTCTACTACTTTATTGGTCGGATTAAATGTACTCTGCCATTGTATATTAAAGATTTTCGTTTGTGGTACACACGATCGCTACAAACATAATAACATCCAAGTCATTCGTTGTCCTTCCGTTCGCCGAAAAATGGATTTTACGTGTTTAAAAAGATCATAATTTTTATCTGTAAGGGACCCAATTATGAGAAAAACTAGAGGCTAACAAACTACCTGAAACGCTAATCGTCTAATTGAGAAGACTGGAATGCGGTTTTAACTCAGACACACGCGCGCGTGCACTCACCCACCCACACACACACAGACACAAAGAAACAAAAACTCTAAATTCCACATCTTAGTAACAATTTTATTGCACCCTTTCTGCGGTAGTCTTACAACCTATTATATATTACTCCAAGTTTGATAATTTCATGTATGAAAAAAAATTCGTCATCTTCTTGCACGGTTGAACTCGGCAGATGGACCCTTGTTCATCGGTAAATATTCACTTAATGAGATTTTCAAACTATTTTTTTTAAGTTCAGCGCAATAATAAAATTTAAAGCAAATATCACCCTTGCAATTTAACACCTGATTACACGCTTTTAATGTTCCTTGTTTAAGTGGTTTTTACTGACAGAAACGATCCTAATTGAATCTTAAAAATCCTTTTGACGTATCTTCATCTCAGATCTCTTCACTGAGTAGTGGTTATTTTTCCATGTTTTCCATGGCATTCCTTGAGTACTGTCCTTTCCGTGAAGATACAAACCATTCAGGTTGGAGCTGTAGCAATCCTGATACCACCAGGCGCCTTTATATTGCACGGCACAGTTACTACCGCCACTGTCATTGTCACGATCTTTGGTGGTAAATGGATATCCTCTGTGATACGTAAGGGAATCTCCAGCGGTACCTTAAAAAAAGATCAGACAACACCACCACCACCGTGAATTATAGTCGGTCTAGATTTGCATTTTCTTTCACATAGCCCAGTATCATTACCAGTCGTCCTCGGCGAGTTGTGATGGGACGTCCCCTTTTAAGTGTGTCGGCAGTATTCGCCCTGGACGTTCGGTTCCCAGCCTCATCCGATCATTAGGGGGTTTAAGATACCACGACGGCGACGGCGACGGCCACGAAGACGTCGCTCGAAAGGTGAATTTGGGTTCTTTCAACCTTTATTACATCCACTTTGAAATCACTGGCTATCCGTGCAATCTGATTGGCTCTCAGCAGTGTGATTTATTCCTAAATCGCACCATTTTTTGCTCTAAATCACATCTGTTCCAAATCGCGTCATTCATGTTCTAAATCGCATCATTTCTGTTTTAAATCGCACCATTTTTGTTCTATATCGCATCATTTCTGTTTCGAATACAAAGTGAGATGTAAAAGCCTTTTTGTTTCGGCTTTTTAACAAACCGGCTACTCGACCAATAAAATATTAGTACTGACTAAATTCTGCGATTTCAAAATGGATGTAATAAAGTGGTAATTGACCTTCGTGTCGTGCAATTTTGGTCTGAAATCATACTTGTGATTTCAAATCAAACTCGCGCTGCGCGCTCGTTCGATTTTGAAATCACGCGTATGATTTCAGACCAAATTGCACTCCACTCAGTTCAATTACCATTATTTATCTCGCGATGAATCCAACTAATTTACTTTGTCAAATGCAACGAACTATTTTTTGATCCGAATTCTTAATATAGAACCCTATTTAAGTTCAGAAACAGAAGGGAAATTTAGTCATCGCTTGTTTACGTCCTCCATAAAAACGTGAAATTAGGCATGATTATCCCGTCGTAGTCGAACAGTGTCAGCGACGGCAAAGAAATGTAGAAAAAAGCGTGATGCACATGCAGAGTTGTTGTTTTGCCAATCTTAACTAACTGCTTTTTGACGTTCTCGTTGTCGTCGCCGTCGTGGCATGTTAAGAACCGTATTCGAATAGCAGGAACTGATCTGGGGACGATGCTGCATGTAGACTGGGCACTAACCAGACTAAGGCTTTTCTTTGGGTAAAGAAGAGAAACGGGCGAATGGTAAAAGGCCTTATACGTGGTGCTTTCTTCATATTCGATATCTTGGGCGGAAAATCGTATACTGAAGTGTCATAAAAAGAAGTACCTGAATAACTGCCCAAACTCAGTTTGTATTTCACCCTCTCGCTCGTGACAGCAAATGAACTGTACTCTGCAAATGCTGTACTGCCATGAAGATCTTCCAAGTCCACGCGAAGCTTGTAACTGCCGCTTACAGTCAGGCGATGAATCTTGTCCAGTCCGAGCCAAAACTCGCCGTTCAGATTACCAAAGCCTCGTTTGTAGTCGTCCCAATTGCGGTAAAAATCCACAGAGCCATCTTGCCTCTTCTGGAAAACTGTCCAACCTCCACCAGCAGTTTTCTGATCACAGTACACTTCAAATTCGCCCAAACCATCAGGATTGATTTTGTACACTCCATTGATCTTTATACCGAACTGGTAAATTTCGGCACAGTTCTCGTAAACTGAAAATAGAATGGCCAGTGAAAAGCTTACGACTATTGGAAAAAGAAAATTGTAGCGAAAATCGGATTGGTGTGAATTTCCGCACGAGACTTGTACTAGTGATATGATGATATGACAGTCCTATATTTAACCTTATTGGATACTTATACGCAAATTTATGAACAGCTTATTATTCTCTTGCTGATGGTTTTGGGCTCTTCTCTTCCACAGTGGATATGGAATAGTGGGCTTTACTTACTCATCCTAAAGTTTAAAACGACCCTCGTTGAACCGGGGCTAATAAAGACCAATATAAGATGAATGTACGCACTCATTGGCACTTATTTCGCTTGCCCATCAGCAAGTAGGCCGTTTTTAAAAGTCGTAAAACCTCCGAGCTGCTGTTAAGCCGTGAACCGAAACACAGTCAAGTGATGAATCGTTTGCAGACGATAAGCGCGCTTAAAAGAAAGTACTGAATCGCTAGGATCAGAGCGCTACAAGACAGTGAAAACAGGGACGATGTTCAAAGAAATACCTTTGCCGCTAGAACCGCCACCACCAGTTCGGTTTTCTTTAAGCTCCTTGATTTCTTCTCTGATTTCGGCCAGTTGTTGTTCGATCTTCTTAGTATTCGGTCCAGCATAAAAGTAGTTGTTTACGTTACACTGTGGTTTTCTAGCATCAGTGCCACTTTTTGTGGGGACCGCTGATTTTGCAATGGCCTTCACCAAAAAAGCGCACAGTACAGCTTTAAGGAAAAAAATCATTGTGTTCTTCCGTTTCAGTATCACGTCTAACATTTAAGAAAGAATCAAATTCTCAATGGTTGATAACTCTTTAGTACTTTCTTAAACTTCCTCAGTTCAGTCCGGCTCTTTTGAAAACGGGTTTTTTCTCGCTAGCTTATTAATGACCGTGTTTTATGATCACATTTTTTCGCCAATCACATTGGAGGGATCGTGAGTAACGACAAATCAGTTGTCCAGTGTTTGGTGTGATTATAATTCAATTTGTAAAGCTAACCTTTTGTATTCAAGTGGAATCAAAACACAATGTCCAGTTTTGTTAATTTTTCAGTCTTTTACATTTCCTGACCTCCAAATCTTCCCAGTAAGCCATAGACTATGTCAGTCCCGTGGACATTTAATCCTTATTTTATGAATTTTCTAATTTCTATGTTAACATAACACAGAGGGCGACATATTATTTTCATTGCAGTTTTGAATGAAACACTCGTCTTTGTAAGAAATTTCAATACCACTGTTTTGTTTCTTATTACAGATGAACCGCTACAGTTTCAGTAATAGCAATTAATCGAGAACTTGTGCGATTGTAAATTGATAACTGGTATACAGAGATATATGCCACGTAAGTCTCCGCCATGTCAATATTTATAAGTCAGAGTCATTACTCATGTTGAATTTTAAACTACTTACATTTTCATGCGTTACAGAGTAACGCATTATCTTGTTGATTTTGTGCGAATTGATAACCTCGTCTCAACTACATTTATAATGTGGCCTGAGACCTTCCTGGATTCGTCTCCTTCAGGGGTACCTTCTCAGTAATCTTCCATGTCATTTTAATCAGTTTTTTGATCTTTTCCAAGGTTTTATAGAATTAGCTTCCCATAAGAAAACAAAACGAAGTGCTTATAATTACAAAAAATTGTTCACCAGGAAGCCCTCATTTATAGTTTCCTAGGCCAAAGTCATATTACAAGCTCAAAATATATACCGTCATAGAAAACTGCAGTGGCCGATCCAGAAAATTCAGAGGGGAAGGCCGGGAAACTTGCCGGCGATTTAGACCTTTTTATTATACTGACAATAGGCCATTTTACAGTTATAGATGGAAGCGAGGATGACGTTGACCTTGTTTTGATACAAACCTTCCTGCTTTATTATGTAAATCAAGTTCGNAGACCTTCCTGGATTCGTCTCCTTCAGGGGTACCTTCTCAGTAATCTTCCATGTCATTTTAATCAGTTTTTTGATCTTTTCCAAGGTTTTATAGAATTAGCTTCCCATAAGAAAACAAAACGAAGTGCTTATAATTACAAAAAATTGTTCACCAGGAAGCCCTCATTTATAGTTTCCTAGGCCAAAGTCATATTACAAGCTCAAAATATATACCGTCATAGAAAACTGCAGTGGCCGATCCAGAAAATTCAGAGGGGAAGGCCGGGAAACTTGCCGGCGATTTAGACCTTTTTATTATACTGACAATAGGCCATTTTACAGTTATAGATGGAAGCGAGGATGACGTTGACCTTGTTTTGATACAAACCTTCCTGCTTTATTATGTAAATCAAGTTCGTCTTATGCTAAATAGTATTTTTCAAGGACAATTTTCATTACAAAGCAAAGAAGGTTTGTATCAAAACAAGGTCACCGTCAGCCTCACATTCACTCGAAGGCTCTGGTACTAAGTCCACAACTGTAAAATGGTCTATTCTTTAAAAATAATAAAAAACCTCACAGAAACAAGGGCGCGACCCCCTCGGCCCCACCCCACCCATACAATGACTAATATTTTTCCCGCCTACTCTGTGGAGCTTTCTCAGGCACCGATCCCTTGAAATTCAACGCAAATCCCACAACTTACGTCTAGTAACTTTATTAAACCTTTTTTGTCACAAAAACAGCTATGACGGTAGTCTTCAACTGTTATAATATCCCAACAGATAGAATGATTTTCATTTCTGAATTGATAGATATCAAGCTATGCAAAAGGCTAAAACGATTCTAAACTAGAGATGCTTTTAGCTAGTTGTTTTACGGAGTTTTGAAGCAAATTTCACCAGAAAATACTTCGTCATGTGCTATATCTCGAGATCAACTACTTATGACGGACCCGGCGGACCCTTGTGCCTCAAACAGCTTACTTAAATCTTTCCAAATGTCCTTTCTTACATAGTTAATGCGCGGGGTAGCAGTTACTGAAATCAAAAGCTGTCATCCCAAAGCATTACACCTGACTACTGGCGTGCTATTCCGTTATACACATAGTTGTCTTATTGACAATACGGTAGAATATTAAAACTGAAAAATCCTTTGGCTGACGTATCTTCATGTCGAATCTCTTGACAGAATGGCAGCCTTGGCAACGTTCTTCAGCGATCCATATCTATGCTAATAGTCGACAAGAATCCGCAAGTTTTTGGATCTGTCTACAATTTAACATAAACTGTTAATTTATCGAATTTTCAGATATGTTTTCTTTTGGCCCTTAGAGCAGATCTATTACCTTAATAGATATCAAGCAATGCAGAAGTATCATGCTTAACACCCTATAATTACGTTCCCAAAGTGAAAAAATACTTTCAGTTAGTTGTTTTATTGACTTTTACTGATAAACGTTTGTCATCTGTTTTCTCGAGATCAACTCATCCGTTATGTCGCGCCATTGAAAGTTTACTCTGAGCGTAAGTTACAATATTAAAAATTCAGCACAATAGCAAGGACTAACGCAATAACACCATTTTACTGACGGAAGTAATGAATCTTAAAAATCTTTTGGACGCATCTTCATCTCAGATCTCTCGACAGAGTAGTAGTTATTTTTCCATGTTCGCCAAACGATCCCCTTAGTATCAACCTTTCCATGGAGGTACAGACCATTTAGGTTGGACTCGTAGCAACTCTTATACCACCAGGCGCCTTTATGGCCCTGGGCACAGTTACCTGCGCTGTCATTATCACGATCTTTGGTGGAGAATGGATATCCTCTGTGATAACCAAGGGAATCTCCAGCGGTACCTTTAAAAAAGTCAACAACAACACCATAAATTATAGCGTCCCAGTTTTTTCTTGTGAGGTGGACGTAAGGCTTAAGATTTAACGACTTGTTTGACTAAGGGAAACCAAGTGATCAGAAAATTATAAATATCTATTCATCGTGTAGCTAAATTTGGTTTAAATAGATTACAAACAATAAAAGGTTCAAAACCCAAGATCTCTTTTTAAATTGATTCACACCGACACAGTAGTCGGTTCAAATTTGTAATATTGCTAGGTTGCTGTCTAAGCGAAACCAAGTGTCCAGTAAAAATTTACCTACTGTATCTATTCATCATGAGTAAATTTTGTTCAAACAGATTTTTAAAATTTACAAGGTCTAGAAGTTTCAAAACGCAAGTTGTCTTTTTAGATTGACTAACACTGACGCAGTAGTCAGACCAAACTTGCACTTATATCATATAGCCCAGATTCAAATTACCAGTTGTCCTCGGCGAGTTTGTACAGTACCAAGCCTCCTCCACTCATTCTTTTAGCGCGAACTAGCCTGGGGACGAGACTGCATGCAGCCTGGGGTGGGGCGAGTCGGTGCAGTTGCCTGGGTACTGAGGCTTTTTTTTTTTTAACAGAAGACCTGATACTCAATTTACACTACATGGCGAGTGTTTACTAAACTCAAGCTTAGCTTCATTTTTGATACCTTGGGCGAGAAGATTGGGGTGTGATAATGAGACCTACCTGAATAACTTCCCAAACTCAGTTTGTATTTCACCCTTTCGCTCATGACAGCGAATGAGCTGTACTCTGCAAATGCTGTACTGCCATGAAGATCTTCCAAGTCCACGCGAAGCCTGTAACGGCCGCTTACAGTCAGACGATTAATCTTGTCCAGTCCGAGCCAGAACTCACCGTTCAGATTACCGAAGCCTTGTTTGTAGTCATTCCAAGCACGGTAAAAATCCACAGACCCATCTTGCCTCTTCTGGAACACTGTCCAACCTCCGCCAGCTGTTTTCTGATCACAGTACACTTCAAATTCGCCCAAACCATCAGGATTGATTTTGTACACTCCACTTATCTTGGCACCGGACTTGTAAATGTCGGCGCAGTTCTTATAAACTACAACATGGTGGAATGTAACTTGAATTAGAAGGATTGAATGCAAAGCTTCAAAGACGAATGCGGAAAACCAGTTAGAGTTGTTCCGCAGGCAAGGAGCCAGAAATGATAAAGAGAGGAGGGAAGAATGAAGGGGGTTCCATCCAAATAGCAGTAGACAGTCATAAAATTCCAATTGTTGTGACTGGTTCCCTTGTGATTGCAACGCGCAAAACTCTTCGTTTAGTTCTAGGGGCTGGATTTTTTCATTGGAACAATTTTTAACATTTTATACCTATGGTGCAATGAACGAAATGCCTTCCCTTTTTTCCATAGAAAAATTGTCTTATTTCATTCCTGTGTTACTACGAAATGCCTTCTTTAGGGGAAGTGGTACGGGCTGTGCCGTATTTTGAATTTTTGATGATTTGTTTGTGGTTTTGGCCTTTTTAGCTGATTACACATAGTAGTAGCGTTAGCAGGAAGATTAGATAAAGATGGCTTGAATAACTACGATTCTCAAACAACCTCAACAAGAGTTAACTAAATGGAAATAAACTCTCAAGTTAGTATTCAATCCATTACCTCTAGAAGAACCAGCGTGATTTCCCTGCCGCTTCAGCGCTTTGATTTCTTCTTTTATTTCGGCCAGTTGCTGTTCGATTTTTCTGGTATTTGGACCAGCGTAAAAGTAGTTGTTCACGTTAGTACACTGAGCGTTCTTTGCATTATCGTTACCAGCCAGTGGTTTTACTGTTGAAGTAGCAAGTGTAACCACATTAAGAAGAGTAAAAAGCAGAGCACGTAGAAAGAAATAATGCATCATGTACACTGAATCGTCCCTTCCGTTCGGTACCGAAGAACGCATCTAATGATTTAAAAGGAACACGAATGTTTCTCTTCTTACAGCAGCGGTCGCTGATGTTTGTCCTTTTTTGGTAGTTTGGAAACGAATTCCTGTTGGCATAGCTCCATTGAAGAACATGACTACGCTGTAGCTGCAACGTGCTGTTCATACAGTGGTCAAAGGTATGAAATGAGTTTCAGCCAGTTTCAGCTGGAAATATGCAAGGCCCATGTGCACATCGTAGTACAAGAACAATGATTAATTAACACACATCAATGCTTAAAGAACCTTAAATTTCATAAATGAGTGATGGTTTATAGAGAGAAAACTTCCGTTAACTACAATAGTTTATGCCAGACGTGGTTAATCGATAAAAGTGGATGTCGGAAATCAATCAATATCATCGATGTTAATCAATTTAAAGCGACGATTTTTATCCATTGATATCGGAAATCGATAGAAATCGAAGTCACAGAAAAAATAATTTATCGATTAATATCGATTAACAAAATTGATAACAATCGATAGGAATCGATAGTAATCGATAACAATCAATAAAAACTCATTATCGATTTTGAAATCGAAGTCACAACTTTTTATCTTTATCGATTTCTATCGATTGATATCGGAAATTAAACTTCATCGATGATTGATATTGATTACTATCGTTTATTATCGATTATCGGTTTATCAATTAACTACGTCTGGTTTTGTCACAGGTCTACCGATGTGTGACTGAGGTGGAAGAACAACTTGGGCTGTAAATATCTGTTTTTCGAGTTTTACCACTGCTTTATTGTTTGGATCAAATTTACTGTTTTATCTTGTATTAAAGATTTGTGTTTGTGTTAAACAATCGATACAAACATCCAAGCCATCGCTTGACCTTCGGTTTGCCGAGATAGGATTTTACGTGTTTTAAATGATCAGAATTTTTATCTGTAAGCCAGTGAATCAAGCACAAAATGACCTGCATATCATCAAACAATTAAAGGAGGTTGGTCAAAAGTCTGACAAGTTTGCGGACATTATGTTGCTTCATGTAAATTGCCAATCATTCAGGTCGAGATTGTTGTCGTTACAAACACATAGACATTAAACTTCTTTCTTCGTCTCATACGCAGCCGTTTTTGTTTTGATTTTCACGTAAGGGCTGCATAGGAGACTACTTCCTCCATAGCACTCGTCCTGTTCCCTTCTATTAGCTTACTTCTTTACCAAACAAAAACGAACCCATTACATTGATATGGAACTGAATAAAATTAAACAAGTGTAAAATATGAGGGGGTTACCAAGGTAACGGATCCCAGTTCAATTCGAGTTACCACGTGATTACCAACACAGACGTAAAGCACCAGGGACGGATAACTGTGCAGGGCGTGAGATCCATGAGACTGTCACGTGTTCGCGTTCAGTTATCATGGTTGCTCAAAGCAGTTAAAAATGATCAAGAGTATCGTGTTACTTATAGTTTGTAATTCGTCACCTGATCGGTCTAATTCATTCGTAATTTGACCTGGAGTCAAATTACGTCAATCGTCTCCGAGGAAATGATATGAAGAAATTAAAGTGGTTAAAAAATTGCTGGGCAATTTTCTGTGGAAATTGCAAGTGAACAACTTCTTTTCACTTGGAACATTGTTTTAGGTGGCTTAAATAGGGTCAAAACTAAATCGGAATTTTGAATCGTATTCCCAAATTTCACGCAGAAAGTTGAAAAGGGAGGTTAAAGAAACGGCCACCTTAACAAACCAAGAGGAATTTTTTATACATATTTCCTTTGAGTCAGTTTTTCAGTAAAAGGTGGATAGCGCTATTTATTAAATAAATTACCATCCACTGGACAGCTAACGCAATCGGTTTCTCTATACTTATCTGGTTGATAGCAATATCCATCTTGAACAATCAGGATTTTCATAAATGGCTGATATAGGATGGTTTATAAATGGAAAACTTTCCGTTAACTACAACAGTTTATGAAACAAATACATCGATGTTTTGGGCGCAGGGGAGTACAACTTACGCTGTAAATAACTGTTTTTCGAGTTTTATCTACTGCTTTATTGGTTAGATTAAATATACTCTGCTATTGTGTATTCAAGATTTGCGTTTGTTGTACACACCATTGGTACAAACATTCAAGTCATCCCTCGGCCTTTGGTTTTTCGAAAAATTGATGTCACGTGTTTTAAAAGGTCATT